GTTTCAATTGGTTTAGAGGAAATCTCGACGCTACTGTCTCTGAACGAAAGGTTGTAGCAATTTAATCTTAGAGATGTCAGATCTCAGGAGTATTTATTATATTTTTAAAGAATGTTTTCATGATACAAAGTCGTTTGTTACTCACGGAAATAACAAATGCAGATATTCTTTTCTTTCTTCCTTACGTTCGCTATAAAACACTGCAAGGATCAGAGAATTTTTCTTTTAATTATTTACGTCGAAATATCTAGGATTTCTATTTCAAAAGCAATAGCTGTGTAATGAGATCTGATTTCTGCTTTCTTTGTATTTTCTCTGTGTTTGAAATTTATTGAACAACTAATCTAATTAAAACTTGTCCTTCCCTCCAGAGAATTGATGACGCCACCTCTTGTTACGTTGAATATGCAGCCTAATATTCTCATTTATGTATACCTACTTGTGGATGAATAATAACCCACTTTATTGATTAACTTTTGTCCTACCAGATATCTGTGTTTATTCTTATTAGATCAACTAGATGCCATAGTTATATTAAATCAAGTTTTACTTTATTTTTAAAGGATAGTAAATAACTATACAGGGTGATTTCGAAATATATGCAATAATTGTCACCACGGCAACCCGTACCGTAGTAATCTGGAAATATAGAAAAAACAAATTAAAAGTCGAATGTACATTTTCGCGGTAAATTACACAACGTGAAGAATCATCGGGCTTCAAAGCTTGCACGTTTTGAACGTGGTATGGATCTAAGCCTTGTTCACCGCGTTCCAAAATTTGTTCTTCAGTTTGCAGTATTCTTTCGGTTCTATCACCGCCACGATTTTGAGTTTGAGGTTTGAAGGTACCATGGTCTCAGAGATGATGTACCACTGATGTAAATATACGCGCACACGGAATCGCGCGTACTTAATTACAGACCAACTGGGTGTATATTCGCGTTTTTATAGAGAATTGGAGTATTGATTACAAATTAATAGTGTTATCCTTCTTTATTGAAGGTATGTGACTAAATATAGACACGAAGAAGGGAGTGGTTATTTGTATAAGTTGTCAAATTGCTACAGTAATGATGGTTACTGATTAGTGCTCTATTTGAAATCAATTAAATGTTCTTAACTCAAGTTCTTTCGTCATTATTTTATTGACAACCAACCACAACCATAAGTTATAACCATTCTCTCGACTAACGTTTTCTATACTTCGGTCATGCAACCCACATCATAAAGCTGTTCATTACGGAAAAGAGCTAACCGTCCACGTCGCGTTCAATTAAACTCTGACAAGTGGTCTTTTATATTTAGTAATTCACATTTGAAAAAAATAATCATTAAATACTAAAAATGATTGATGGACTAACACTGGCGTCGGTAAACACAACAGCACTGGCTTTTAGTTTGCAAAACTGTTCAAGAACCTGTTAAAACCGACTAAAACAAAACAAATCACACGTCAGATAAATTCAAACCCACTGCAGACCGAGTTGATGAAAAATTATATCTGCCAGGCGGACTGGGGAAAATTTAAAAAAGTATTGGTTGAAGCGGCAACGGAGTGAAACGTTCGGATATGTTTAAAAGTATTTGAATGAAGAAAAGAGATGTAAACGGAGAATGGCACCATCAATCAGTTTGAGGTTTTATTTCAAAGAAAAATTGTAATTTCAGCAAAAACTGCGGAAACTTTTATTTATTTTAGCCCCACCTTGAACACCTTTGGCAAAGCACGAACGGGGAGAATAAAGGTGACAGTAATGATCCACGTCTGGGTGATATTCGATAATGGAAACTATTTGTGTTTACTGAAATAACATTCTTTACACGCATACCACCAACCGCCTTCATTTAGATCTGAATTACGAGATTAATTTTATTTTATTAAAAGCAAGTAATAGGCAGCGCACACGCAACGTGCATACGTAAGGGTGATTCCATACAAAATCGAGCAGTCATTTCTAATTTAGACGTTTTAAAAATGGAAAGATTAGATAATTTTTGGGGTTACAAATAGGCAGCAAATTTTATTATTTCCTGGTTGTGACATTATTTACAAGGGATTGCGGAAAAGTTGTAAACTTTGACGTGCCAGCTCCAACTATTCACTTCATGTTCAATCTACCGCTCCGCATATCTTCGATGATATTTGATACTTGCTTCTCACAGATGTTGACTGTATTTTGCGCTTCGTTTGATGATGGACTTGATTAGTTACAAACTTGACAATTTATGTCAAATTTATTCAGCGCGACTCGTGCAAAGTGTTTACAATCTGGAATCTCATAACCAAAAAAGCAGTCTAAAAACGAAATTATGTGCTCTCCCGCTTGAGCTGAAATTTTATGACATCCATTTTCTGTTTCAAATCGAAAAATAAGAAAGGTAAATAAAGAAGTTTTTATTTACAGTATGAATATTTTCACAGTATGTACTTTAATGTACAAATTATGTACATTCATCCGCTGTTTACCTTTGAGTTAATATTAAATGTTATGTTCTTGAAATGTTCTAATTTGTTTACTTTTGACATATTTTACGTCTCTATTTAGGCATTCACACAGTAAGGAAAATACTATTAAATTCATGAAATTAGAGTTCCAGAGGTCGAACATAAAGTCGTAAATGACAACGTGCGATCTCGTCTGTGTGGTCGCGCGTCTCAACACACCGTGTGATCCCGCATTAATAAAACCTGTGATAAGTAATAATAACCATGGCCTTACGATAAGCGAACTGTGAAGTATTCAAATTCAAATTTTTCAATTCAGTCAATTTTTTGTCTGTAAGAATTTTTCATAAGAATAAGTTTTTTTTAATTTCTGTAATTCACTTATTTTTACAACGTACTGAGTAAAGAATTTATATGAAGTAAACATTTCTTGCTCTACTAACTAATATCGGTGTCACTGCGACGACAGGACGTTATCAAATACACACTGGATATAGCAAAAAAGTAATTTTTAATATTTAAAAAATTATTCGAAATTTAGTGTTATAATTATCAAAACAATTTTTTTATCTCGCTCTATTTGTATCAAATGTATCAAAACTTACATTCAAAGATAATGTGTCTTGGTTATATCGCATCATTTAGATTTTTTATTTACACCGTTGCCATGGAAACCGCGCCTCTAGTCGCTATAATCGGCTGGAATCGAGTCACATTTGAAACAGTGCGCGAGTGAAATTGTTTGATTTTAAATAAAAATAATGAATCCATCTTGAGTTATTATCCTAGACCTTCAGACTTTTGGAAAAACGATGAAAATTGTATAAGAACATTTCGCAATTTAACTTTGAAAGTGCAAAACCGAAAGCTGTCTTCGACCAATTTTTTTTCATGTATCACAAACAAAATTTAGCAAAATCAAATTTTATAATTTTTCAAAGAAGTGGAATTTGTTGGATCGTACTTCAGTTGTGCCGCTGTCTTCCACCCATTTTTTACATTTTCTTTAATGACGTCACTGAGTTTTAAGTGTTAATGACTAAAACTTTTTATTGAGAATTTTTGATTAGAATGTATTCTTTACACATCTAAGGCTTGTGTAATAAACGTTTATTATTTGTAATGCGTATAGATATGCTACCCATGCAGATATTCTAATTAGTGGAAAATGAAGCTTCTAACACGTAGTATACAGTTGTACCATTTTACATAAATCTAACTTTTCAAACATCTGGATTGAATAATATTTAAAAATGTTGATAATAATTATCGACCGATTAGTATAATCCCAACGCTTTCTAAAATATTTCAAAAACTTCAACATTGAAACTTAAAATATCGTAAGTCCATCGCTACGTAGTTTCTATTTTGAACGGTCTACGCTTACAAATCTGTTAATAACAACTGATGGTATTATCGAAGCTTTTGCTTCTGGTTATGAAATTATTGCATCCATATATACATACTTTATAAAAGCTTTCGATTCTGTTATTCAATCAAATTTCAAATTTAATCTTAATTCAGAATTTTGCAGTACGTTTCAGCAGGAAAATCTGTCATTCACTGGTCGTACACTTTGAGATAAAACTCATATTTAAAAAAATAATAATAACTGCAATAATTATATTATTTAAGTCTTTAGTTCGGTCATGTTTAGAACATAAAGTGTTTGTGCATCTCACTAAATAAGTTTCATTATATAGATAAGTTTTCATGGCATTGAACTTGTCTTTTTCTATTCTTTTTTTGCAAATGATTGGTGGTGATAAAATTATATTATTAAAATATTGATAACTAAAGCACATTTTTCGTTAAGCATGCATTATATGCACAATTAAAGTTTTGTAGTAAAATTATAACTTTAGAAAGTCTTTTGCATCAAGGACCATAAATGTTAAATTTGGTCCCGTCTTTAACTGAACTATTATTCGCTTCAGGTGACACCAGTATAAAATCTGGAAAATCGTCTATAATACGATGTTTGAAAAGTTTTGAAAAATCGTAATTTTCTCAAGAAACTTTTTTATGACTAAATCGTAAAGTGGTACTTTTTAAACGTTATATTGCAAAATTCAGGAAAGAAACAGTAGTTTGACGTTGTCATATCGGCGTAATGGCCACTGACATAGATATTCTAATTAGTGTAAAATGAAGCTTTAAACAAATATTATACGACTGTGGCATATATAAAACACTAGTTTGCATACATCCACTATAAACCAAGTGCATATAAAAATTTAATGAACAAAAAACTGAAATTCTGCGAATCTTAAAAATCCTGTTAATTTGACATGTAACACCTGATAAAAACCCTAGCGATTACTGTCACGTCCACGAAATTTTCCAAAGTTGGTGTTTAGGGCCGAAAAGTTGCGGCGCCGTAAAACATAGCGCAAACTTCCGCAAATTGAATTTGCCAAGTCTCCTTCGGCTAAATTGGTGGAGGCGCTCAAGCATCTGACAATTTTTCGTCGACCGCCGAAGTCGCTTCGATTTATCCGGAATCTGGTCCGCATTCCCGGCCAATTCCCGGAAGAATCGTAAAGCGTTACCTGAGCTTCTGCATCTCGTCGCGGACGTCACCCAGCTCCGCGCTGGACAGGACCTTCCTCCGCAGGTCGTCCGCGATGCTCGCCAGGTCCTCTCTCCGTCTGTCCAAGAGCGTAGTCACTTGTTTGCTGAGCACGCGCAACTGTTCCTCCAGGGCACTAGATTCACCACATGCCGAGCACACGCCGACCGCCACCAACGCTGCCACCGCCCACAGTCGCATCTTCTTGCAGTTTGCCAGGATACGAACTGAGTTGCGGAGAACCGAAAACGGTTTTATACGGGTGGCGGGATGAGGGCGCAAGCGCCGGCCGCCAGGTGTTACGCGATTGTTGCTCGTTTTCAGCGTAAGTATGCTTTTGATACATGGAGTTTTTTATTTTGGTTACCTACCTGTGGAGTACGGAGGGTGGCCGCAAGGAGCTCGATATTGAGAGCCACTTTTCACCTGCTTGGCAGATGGTGCAATGCAGTCGCCCATTAGAAAATAACAACCCGTCAAGCCGGGGCGACGGGTCACTTTTTAAAAAGTGTTTATGCCTGGGCACTCGCCAGTTGCGCCAATAAATGAGCTCGGTTCCTAGAAGAAATTTATGGTATTTTTGTAAAAGTACATTTAGCTCATTGCAACTTCGTGTTTTATTTCTCGCCCGTCAGTAGAGGGAACAGATGTATGCGTGACCCAGATGGTACACATTGTCTTTCTAAAGGTACCCATTTTTCATGTGTCAGAAAAATTTTGAAACAAATTGACATTCTAATTGATTTAATTAATATTTTGGTCTTTCTTTCAACAAAATCCCAATTTTGTTAATTTTCAAAATGAGTCAAAACTAACTCGGTAAGACAAAAAGGAAAGATTTTATTAAGACGTTTTTTTCTTTAGGTATTTTTACGAATGTGGTTATATTTAGTCTTTTCTCGTTTTACTATTATTATTAGTATTGCACAGTGGCGGCTCGTGACTGTCTGATGTGGTGAGGCGATGATAGAAGTTTGACAATAATAGTAATATTACTTGGTCTTACTAGTTAGTAATGATAGAAGTCTTGCCTGAATACCGGTCATTCCCGGGTCAGTGGTAGGTCCTAATAATAATAATAATAATAATAATAATAGTAATAACACCCATAACACATTGAATCAACAATGTTTTTACAAGTCAAAATTTTGTTGAAAGTAGCACTTTCTTGGAGGGATTCGGAAATAGTTGTTGTGTTCTTTTCTAAATGTTTTAAGCCCATGGAATTTTTAATGTGTACTTTGGAACTTTCATGTAACTTTGCACGGATGAAATTCTTTAAATCGTTATATCCCGGGATGTGTAAATATTACGGCAGAGCCATTTATATGTTTCGTAGGTACCAAGTTGATTTAAAAGACTTGGAGTACTGACGATTCTGTCGCTCATTAATGGAAGTTAAATGAATTAACTGTTTTGACTGCTCGACATTTAGCAAAATTTGTCGACGTTCTAGCTCGGTTCGGCGTGAAAACGGCGTTTCAAGAAGCAACATGACGATATCGTGCTCGGGATTTATTTTTCACTCACCTGTACCTATGAAAGAGACAATAACACAAAACACCAACACGTGGGTTTTTATTCACGTTCATGCTAATTACCCACGCACCCCGCAACCCTACCGTTCTGTAAAATAAGTGGAAAAATGGTTTAATGAGTACGCCGAAATTGGCCGAGAAGCACCGAAGATATCGCCTCAGTTCCGAGCGAACGCATGTATAGGAGTATAGGAGCTGAGCGATGGAAATCCGTGTCTGTGATTGGGCTGCGCTGGTTCAAGTGAACCGACGTTCTGGCCGCTTCAGTTAAAGAACTAGGGGCATAAATCGTACGGTATTCAACGGAAAATGTCAGCAGAAAGCATAAAAAATAAAAAATCATGTACAGATTTCCCATTTCAACATATTTTTGTAACTAAAAATGTATTGAAAACTCTTTTTTAATTATAAATTAAGTCAATCTGTTCTTAAGATATATGCTGTGAGGCGTCGCCTCACTTGCCTCATCTGACGAGCCGCCACTGGTATTGCAAATTGTCACTATGGCTGTAATATGCCTAATGAATGATACAAACATACAAATTTAGAAAAAAAAAGATTAAAGTTAAAATAAATTAATGATAATACCACTGCTACTACTAATAATAATGATAAGATTAACCAGGAGCGGCTGGTGCCAGGGGGCTAAGGGCACGTGCCCCCACCCCCCCACCCCAAAACTACAAGATCTACAAACACACTGGACATAGCAAACTATTTTTCAATTTTTAAAAAATTATCCGGAAATTTGTGTCATAATTATCAAAAGTAATTTTTTTATCACGCTCCATTTGTATTAAATTTATCAAAACTTACATCTAAAGATGTTGTGTCTTGGATATACGACACGTTGCTGAAGTGCTGATAAAAGCGGAGACCATATCATGCCTTATTTAGACGTTTTGTTAACACCGTTGCGATGGAAATCGTGCGTCTAGTCGCTGTATTCAGCTGGAGTCGGGTCCTGCTCGAACAGTGACCACACCAGTAACTCAGTTGAGGGATTATATTTTCATTCTGCGCGAGTGAAATTGTTTGATTTTAAATAAAAATAATGAATTCAGTTGAATATTTAATAAAAAATCGTCCTTTGTCTTACGACGGAAAAAAATGAGTGAAAAATTTAGAGAGAGCTACAAAACAAGAGACTTTCATAGATATTTTAATAGACACACAATTTCGTCTGTTAATTGGTAATAACAGCCTATTTTATATTTTCATATTTAACTTATCAACCAAATTGTGTCCCCCCATTTCAAAAGCTCACGAGCCGCCACTGAGTTTAACTCAAGTTATATTATTCGTGATTAATGAGAATAAACTAGCTGCATGCAGTATGTCAGACAGTAATGAAAAGTGAAGATCAAATACCAAAGAAATCTGATTAAATAAATAGGTACGACATTGCATAGATTGCTGACTTAATTAACAAACTTGTTTTAGCTATTTGTTACTACTGAACGTTAAATTGGATCTAGTAGTTACTCCAATTATGTGAAAATCAACTGTGAAATGAGATATACAAAATCGATTTTTCCATGGAACAAGAAATATTACTGCAAACAAGCAATCTTACGTCTAAACTCCAAAGTCTTAAAATCAAATTGCGACAGAAGAGTAGAGTGATCAAAGCCTGTTAGAGGACACACACTGAAAGCCTTAAAGTGGAGAAATTTCAAAAATGTATATAACCCCTAGGTCTCTCACGACGTTACTTCTATTTAAAGATGTGTCGCAGATACTGTAATCATATAAACAGTAATCCTTTTTATTATTATTATTATTATTATTAGAGTAAGTTGGTCAACAGGCACTAGTCCCAATTACAGACCAACAGATACATACAGAAGGTATAGATGTATAAAAACTACTGTCAAATTCATCACACAGCTATAAATTACCGCCTGACCCAGGAAGGTTAAATTATGACAATAGGACAATTAGACCGTTGGAAGAAACGCCAGAGAAAGTAGTTATCAGTGTATCACATGAAAACATCGAAAGTATTTTGATATTGATTGTACAGGGTACACATTTCAAATATTGGAGAGTGCTTTTCAATGTCAATACGAGGAGTTGGTAAGTAAAATGAGTAATGGTACCGGGACGCAGGTCTCGGAACAGAAAATGACAATTTACTAAGAAGATGAGGACAATCAATTTGAAAGTGTATTAGTTTATGGAGAAAATTCAAAGAAGTCCTAATGCGTCTTGTCTGTAAGTCGTCAAAACCAAAACGTGCCAACAGTGTGGAATGGGAAGAGCCCCTTGCGGGATACACGCCATCAATTTCAAAAACCAAGAATTTCAGGAATCGCCGCTGAATCTTTTCCAAAGAGTTAATATGTATTTGAGAGAACGGAGCCCAAACCACGCTCGCATACTCAAGCACGGAGCGCACATAACAAAAATATAGAATGCGCAAGCAAGTAACATCATGGAAGCTACCGCCACATCTCAAAATAAAACCGAGAGATTTATATGCACGTGCACAAATGTTGTTAATATGATTAACAAAGGTTAATCTTGAATCAAAGGTGACTCCCAAGTCCCGGAATGAATTAACCCTGGATGAAATAGTGTCATCAATGGTATAGCTGTACAGTATTTCTAAATTCTTATTGGTAAATGACATTACAAAACATTTCCTTAAATTCACAGAAAGTAAATTAGTATTACTCCACTTACAAAAACGGTCCAGATCATTCTGTAATAAACGACAGTCATCCAAAGAAGAAATCCTTCTGAAAATTTTTAAGTCATCTGCGTACATAAGTGTGCTAGAATTAATTTTTTTCACAATGTCGTTGATATAAATAGTGAAAAAGAGAGGTCCAAGAACTGTACCTTGCGGTACACCCGATGGAACTAAAATCTTATTAGAAACATGACCATAATATTTAACACATTGGGATCGATTAGATAGATAAGACGATATTAAAGACAACAAGGAATCGGAGAAGCCAAAATTATGCAATTTAGCAAGTAAGATGTGGTGATTTAGTTTGTCGAATGCTTTAGTAAAGTCGGTATATACCGCATCAACCTGAAACTTGGCATCAAAGCTATCCGAAACAAACTGAGTAAATGAACATAAGTTCGAAGTAGTAGATCGACCACTGATAAAACCACGCTGGGAATCAGTAATACTACTGCTAACATTAAATAATAAAAATTTATGTAATACCATCTCAAAGATCTTACTGAAATTACATATTAACGATATTGGTCTATAATTAACCACATCATTTCTAGCACCGCTCTTGAAAACAGGTGTTATAGTAGATAATTTCCAGATGTCAGGGAAAGTTTTTGTTTTTAAAATTAGATTAAATATTATGGTCAAAGGATAACACAAAACTGAAGCACAGTCTGATAACAAGAACGCAGGAATCCCATCATGACCAGCAGTAAGATTGGATTTCAACTTCTTTAGAGCACCTAGCACTTCAGACTCAGATATAATTGACAGGCTAATAGACACATTAGGTGTAGTATCAAAAAAATCATCAATGTTGGTGACAGCACAATCACTGTAATTGTTGGTAAAATACGCACTAAACGCATTGACAATCTGTTCTGGACTATTAAGCAATTCACCTGAATAAGTCATTTGCGCAGGGATACCAGTACACTTCCTCAAACTGTTAACATATGCCCAAAATTTTTTTGGATCGGATTTTATATTAGATTCCATATCAAGCAAATAGTGGCGCTGTGCCCGCTTAATGTCACATTTCAATTCAGATCGTAGTCTTCTGAAGTCATTGATCATCTCAGAGTCATTAATGTAATTAGAGGACCTTAA